TGTGTATCGTTACTTGAATGAATTTGCTTCGTCGTTACCTTCGTCGCACTGCACTTTTTTCAATTTTCTGTCTAAACAGAAAATTGCACAACCATGGTGAAGGTTCATGACACATTGTCAATAAACAAATCGATATAAAGAAAAAAAAATTTCAACAGTCACTCATTTTAACAACGAATACTGTTCGAACACAAGGGACATTTATGGCTAATAAAGTTCCATCATCGTTTCTGGGATTACCTGTCGAGATCGTCTATCGTATTCTGGATAATCTCAATGAATTTACACTTGTATGTTCAGTTCGTGATGTGTGTACACGACTGAACATGATTACTGATACATATCCTCGATCTCAGGTAAATTTCAGTGTTATTATAGAATTAGATTTTTTATCTTCAAAATGTTATTAATTTCAAAACATGACTATTTTAGCTATTTGTTGATTTTAGAATAGTAATAGTTCGATAATAATATTTTAAAGTTAACCCATATTATCTCAAAAGAAAAGAATGATTATGTTATGCAAATTATTTCAGAAGGATTCATTGAGTTTTTTTTAATTTTTTCTGCAATATTTTACCAAACAAAAAATTAAATTGATAGAATTTTAAAACACATTGAACATTTTCACAGCTAAGTTTTATTTTCCTACACCAGTTATAGAAAGAACTTCTTCAGGTGAATTGCATTTTATGTCATAGAAGGGACCCAGTTGAATTTTATGAATTCTACACTAGTGAAATTTCGAAAATCTAAACATTTATCAAAGAAACGAAGCGTCAAAGCATACTAAATATAATTCTAACAACTCAATGAATCTAAGAAATTATAACAGTTGTCATAAGTTGAGAAATTCTAAAAATACATCGAAATCATAATAGTTATACAATTATTCAAAGAATGATAGTAGACCTTTATAAACAAAGAAAATAAATAAGATGTGTTTTTGGTGCATTTTCACTATGACTCTTATGGTAATCTTGAGATCAAGCAAATGAAATATCATTTGAAAGAAATCGATGTTCTGTTAGAGGAAGCTTATTTAATAGAAGATGTATGCTTTATTTTTATTTGATTGATGGAATGATCGATTAATGTTAAGAATTTCTTTAGTTTATAATTCTACTGATGTAGTAAACGATTTCCTAACTACAGTGAATACAAGCCTTGAACAATAATGAATAGGGTATTTTGGAAAAGGTTTCAAGTTATCTAATCGATTTCTCTACTACCAATGCACATCATTTTTGTGGCGAAACGACTCTATTTTGAATTTGGCGCTTATATGAAAGATTGCACTTTTTTATTCGAAGACATCTGTC